CCAAGCGTTCGTCACTAATGGCCCTGAGCCTGGTGTAGACTCATAAGACCAGTTCCACAGTAGTGGTCTGACTGCCTTGCTATCGTCGACACTATCCACAGTCGTCGACTGGGCAGTAGACCCATAAGTCCTACTGAGCGCAACACTGTCAACCGCGACACGATACACCGAGTGGTTCAAGAGTAAACTCTGTAAAAAGCGCAAAAATACGCCCTTACAGAGTTGGTGCAGAGCGCGTCTGGTAGCCAGCCTATCACCGCGGGGGGAGAACCACGTGATGGCAGTGGTAACTGAGGTGTGGGCTTTTTCCACAAGGAATTTGGTGATGGCTAAAAACTTCCAGTAGAATTTGCTGTAGGTTGAACGGGACAGGTGTTGAACACAGAAAACTCAGATGGGAGCCGCAGGAGGCTAGGGGCACAGATGGGAGGCAAAAAGCCCAGTAGGTCACATTGATCTGATGCTATATACTATGCGTCACACCCTTTGTCCAAACCAAGCACACACAATATCCACACATCAACAACAGGATCCCAATGCTTGTGTATTCTCCAATAAGGGTGTGTAAATCTGAGATCATGTATCTGCAGTCAGTGTCCGTTCCCAGGTAAAGCTTCAAGATGTCAGCTTTGAACAACACGTAGGAGTGAGGTGCAAGGAAAGAGTCCAGCAACTCCTAAATTTCCTGGTTGTCCACTGAAAGGTAGCACATTGTGTGAGTCTTCTTTTCTTGGTCTGCTGTGACACCTGCCAGGGAGAAATGAAACTCCAGGTTGGTAAAGAAACGCAGCAGCTGTTGTGGCTGCTTAGCATTGAACTCAGGGGCACCTTGGGCACCTTGTGCTGGCATATTGGTGTTGGTAGCTATTTTGGGGAACTAAAGTAAGCAACAATGGGAGTGAAAGCAATGATGTAGGGGTGAATAATACAAGGGCGCCTTTTGGAATGTAGGCCCCTGGAGATTCTGGGAGTAAGACTTAGTAGTGAGAAATGGGGGTGAAATCAACTGACTTTCTATGTAGTGTTACAATAGTATTTACACTGTAGATATATGAATAGACACCTATTTGGGTTAGCTAGAAGGAATAAAAGGACACATGAGACCTATAATATAATAGCAATGTGAAACTGGAGAACTGCATTCTGAGACAAGTCCTGGGCTGATCTCAACCCTCAGGGCCTGCCTGGACCTTTCCAGGAATTCAGTCTTAGTTTGAGGACAATTTCTGTGGCAATCTTGCACCGTTGCACTGCGTTTGACAAATGGTTTGAAACCAGGAGCGTGGATTGTTATGTGCAGCCAAATATTGAGTGTTGATAGCTGATGGCAACACTGCCACCTGTTGTGTCAATCAGCTCCGGTCTGTTGACGTGGTCAAAGCAACCGCAGGCTTGTCACCAAGTTCTGAACTTTATCCTTGAATACACAGCACTTACTACCTGTTGTAAAGCTTATTCTTGGCTTAATGCTATGATGGTAAGCTGCCACACAGCTCTACCAGACTCAAACAGAGTACAGGTTGAAGGGCTAAGTCATGTTATCCCTAACTCATGCCACAGACAGATTATAAGTGAAGATAGACTAAAAGCACAAGCCCAATGCCTGCCTAAGCTCTCTCACACTTTGCTGCTCTGCCAACCTTAGTGCTTGGCTCAAACACTCCTTCTCAGCATACATCCGAGATTGACAGGCATAAGCCTTGCCAAGGAAATACCAAACCTCAGGAATATACCGGCCCCGGCCGCACACTAGGTGGGCAAGCATTCCAGCCACCATATCAACTTTTGCCCTGCCTCCATCTTTATCAGCAAGATATACAGCTGCCAACCCGACCGCCGCTGCGACACACTCCGTGTCAATCCATAGGGCCTTTTGGAGAGCATCTACTGCATGCTGCATCTGCCCCAGAGCTTGATGGTAGAGCCCCAACTGGACCCAGACTCCTGGGTTGGTCGCATCTTGGACTTCAGCCTCTTGAATCGCACCTTTGGCCTGCTCAATCTTACCCAGTCTTCGAAATGTGGCAGCAGACATGAGCCACAAATCACTCTCGAGCCGTGATTCTCGAGATACAGTGACAGGTGACAGTGAAGGTGATGGGGGAGGAGGCGAGACTTGGAGCACTGAGCCCGCCACTGAAGGCGCACCCGAGTTGAATCCTGAACCAGATCCTAATCCTAGCTTCCGCCGCGAGTGAATCGATGATGCCTGGTAGACTGTCTGCTTGAACACTGCATGGAAGTCGGGTGTCGACAGTGTACGCCGAAGCGCATTGCCATGGTGGCCTCGTACGCGACGCGAAATGGTGCTGATGCGCGCTTGTCCCTGATGCACACGGTTCTTGAGCATTTGTTGCATCTTCTTCTTGCCTGTTGTCGGGTCTCGCTCGACCGAGCTTCTTGCGTCTGATTCATCTGGAGTGGCAGGCTCGATCATGATTGGGATTGGAGGCGGAGGGACTGGTTGCGAATCTTCCTCTCGTGGCTCACTGTCTTTGCTGACGTGAGCGATATCTGACATCGGTGAACACAAGTAAGACAAGAGCGACACAGCACTTACCCAATCCACGCTGCTCCGCAATCCACTGAAATACTTCAAGCCATTTAGACTCGGCGCCTTCGGGGCCCTCCACGCGTTCAGTCAACACGGCATGTGTCATCCTTAGCTGCAATGCATGCTCAAACATCTCGGCCCGGGACGCTGGTGGATGATCTTGCACCGCCATCAAAAGCCCGTCGGACGGGGGCACGCCCATCTCATCCATCAACAACATATCGACCACCGGCTCCGTAACGGGTAGTCCCTCGATTCCGATAGCAGGAGAAACGACCGGCAAGGCCTCGGCGTGCTCGAGGATCTCATCCGCAGCCTTCCACTGTTCGCTTGCCGCAAGCAGCAGCCCTAGCAGATGCCAGTGTCGCACTTCTCCAGGATCCCTTTCGACTGCCAGTCCGGCGTTCGCCAGCGCCTTCTCTAGATCAAAAGCAGTCGCCCCTGGCCAGGCGTACGTCATCGCCAGGTGATAGTGACTGGCGGCGCCCGGATTCCCATCGACCGCTTTGACAAAGAAAGCGTGTGCTTCATCGACCTGGCCCGCAACGAGGCAAGACACACCCTCCGCCAGATCTACGCTCGCCACCAAAGCAATTGCGCTCGGATCCAGCCGGCCTGAGCGCACGGCCTTGATCAACGTCCGCGCAGTGACAACATCCCCGATCTTGCAAAGCATGCGAGCCCCGCTGACGAGGGTCTGTACGAAGTGGGTGTCTGTGTCGGCGTCCTCGGACAAGCCTGTCTGCGCAGCCTTGCTGACAATCTGTACGTACAGCAGGAGAGTCTCCTTCGCGAGATTTGTGTCACCCGAAACAGTAAGCAGGCGCGTGAGATGCCGCATGATGCGATGCGAGTTGAAAGTCAGTCGTGTGGCCCACCAGAGGTGCTGAGGCAGATGAGATCAATGCGTATGCGATCTAGCACACATACCTCGATGATCCATCCAGGCTCACCACCACCCACTTCCCACACCGCCACAATCAAATCCACGAAATCCTCCACCCGGGTGTTTCGTTCGCCTGCCTTGGGGAAACGAGTGGAAGCGGCCAGAACTACCCTCAAACCATCGACAATATGTTTCGAATCAGCCACATTCTTGGTGAGGACACAGGCTCGCAGATGCAGGGTTGCCACAACACACCGATGACCGGCACGGAACGATGCTGGCCATCCTGCGCTCAGCGTCGCATACAGCTCGAAAACGCGCCACAGCGCTTCATCGCGGGTCAAGGCCGCCAGAACGACTCCCCGCCACAACAGCATTTCTGTCCAACGCCACAGCTCGCAGGTGATGGCAAACGGTGGCGGGGGTCTCGCTACAAGAGGCAGCGCGTTTAGATACGTCGACAGCGCGCTGGTCACGTCTCCTAGTTTTTCTTTTGCCATGCCTGATAGTACTAGTTAGATCGCATCTCAATTACAACAGGAACTGACCATAAAGACACACACTCCTCATGACTTCGATCAGACTCCACAACCCGACCGCATCGATGCTCTCTCCATCAGGACCAGTCGTTGTCGTCGAAAGCTGACTAATGGTCCAAGAAGTGGTCGGATCCATCGCAGTGACCTTGAGCGTCGCCGTACGCCGATCACCGTCGTCTCCCGATGTGCCAACAGTCGCAACATCGGAGAGCTGTCCAAGATGCGCCAGACATTCTGCAGTGTCACCCAGCGCATAGGCCAGATATGCCAGCGTCCGTCGAGTCGTCTACCAAGGTAAATGACACGAGAACTTGAGCAATTTGGAAACGCACCGGAGACTCTTCACCGTTCCCTGCTCCCGACTTCTTGAGTGACTCGTATATTGCCCTCGCCTCGTCACAGTGTTGGGATGGAACCATGACACTATCGCCGAGGTGCACAGGTAATTCCGCCTCGCTTTCTGTCTGTAAATCGCTCATTCCTCCTCCTGCCCCCCCTGTATCTCCTGACCCACTGTCGAGCAAAAGCCCAACTGTCCAAACGCTCTCCGCCACCTCCGCCATCTCCCGCGCCTTCGTTAAACCAGCCGCATAGGTATGCTTCCTGAACTTGCGCAGAACCTCCCCCCAACTCAGTAGCTGCCCATTCGGCGCCTTGGCGGGAAATGCCGCCGCCCAATCGCCTGTCGCAAGTGCGCGATGAAGGGCCTCAAGATAATATCTGTCTTTGCCACCGGATGTCGAGTTTGGTATATGATTGGAGACATTAGGAGGAAGAGTTGTAGAGGGAACTGGGAGAGTGACTGGGTTGGGTGTGGCCATGGGAGTAATGTTGGAATAAGACATTATGTTGAATTGTGATGCAGGCTGGGAAGCTAGTGTTTATTGCAGGCCGGAGTCCTTGAAGAGATGTTTCAGAGAGATACGACAGCTTCCCCTGTCGTCTCCTCGTCTGTAAGAGACTGAACGACGGCCTTCTGTTGTTGGTGCGTGAGGAGGATATGATAAGATTGATCAATTGATTGATGTAACACTCTTGTCCAAACACCTCCATCCGTCCTTCCACTCTGCTCAGTCTCTCAGTGAATCTCAAGCGCCTGTTCTTCGATCGTGAATCAGACCGAAATCGCTACTATGTTAATTAAAGTCAAGGTAAGGTTCTTTTCGATCTATCATACAGTCGCTTTGCCATCACTGACCTGGTTCACCAGACACTGACTGGGAAGGAGGCACGTTGGTTTCTTCGAGTGAGATGGCAAATGACCCTAAATCGATGCACATATATCTACAGATCGAGCTGGACATTGACCCTGAAGACAAGGTTCTACTCTCCTATACTACTTCCTGCATCACTATCGCTTTCTTCCATACATTCGGAACCACCACATCTTTGCCTTGCCACGATATCTGAGGCTACCCCATTTTAGATCACTCGCATCAAGGAGAAAGTCGAAGAACAGTCCGGCGTCCCCCCTCCCCAGCAACGGCTGATCTACTCTGGGCGTCAAATGTGCGTTTCCTGACATGTCTTGCCATTCACCTCTGATTCGTGCTCCTCGCGACGATACCCGTTCCCAATTTTCGAGGCAAGCACATCGCTGATCATTTACTACAGGCCCGATGACAAGACTGCCAAGGATTTCAATATCAACGCCGGCGCCGTGCTGCATTTGGTGTTGGCCTTACGTGGCGGTTGTTGAGGATTCCTTCGAATACACAGAGGGATACGATTGGAGGAGAGAGAGAGTCACTGCTGTAGATTGATTGAATCGCTAACAACTGAACGACATTGTAACAACCTAATATAAGGCCCATGCGGTTTCTGACCAGCCACTCTTGTCAGGCTCTAGCCCTTCATCAAAGGTTTCCTTGTGTGAGCCTGTCTGGGCGAAGCGCCTGGATCGAAACAAAATCATTTGACACAAGTCGGAGCTCTATGTTTGTTTGTCCGTATGATAAAGCACATAGCACGCGTAAATTAGTGTCCATTTCCATTTTCATTCGTCCCGTTGACTCCTTCCACCTTGCTTAACGCAGCATCAGCTTGGGCCAGATCGCGTTCGCTCAGACTACGGAATGCTCCGCCACCGGGCGTGCTCGCTCCGCTCATCACGCTGCCCGCACGACTGCGTACTTTCATGACCAGCGGGCTGAAGACTTGTGAGCTCCAATGATGTGCGGACAGAAATATAGTACACACAAGGGATACGAATCCTCTTCCTCCTGGGAGCCAGGCCAGTTGAAGCCTCTGTAATCGCTAGTCTCGAGGGTTTGCATCTACAAAATTTCAGATGTCAGGCGAGCAAGAAAAAATCACAACGCACCTCTTCAGTCAACGTCCCAATGTCACCTGGCGTTGCCGTCCCTTTAAACCTGGGGCTCGCCGGAACGCTTGGTGCCATCCACCCTTGCCGTTCCCCGAAGTAATCACTGCCCTCTTCAGCTTCGTCGGTAAACGCGTCTGGATAAGCCCTTCTCAAAGCCAGCAGTCGCGATTTGCTGTATTCGATTCCCAAATTCTTCCAATCCAACAGCGGCGAAAGACGCTCAACACGATTACGCTGAAACTACTTCAGCCACGGCTCATGTTCCGCAGACAAAGACCGAACCTGATTAATGCGCTGTCGACGAGTTTTCTGCGTGAACAAGTGCATATGATCGGCTAACTGCTGCACCGAATCCTCGACAGACTGTGATCTGCGGTCAACAATGTAGCATCCTTCATCTTGAGGACGCTCAATCAGATCCGCCATAAAGCACCCAAATCCAGATAAATTTGTCGTGATTGACGGTATGCCCATCTAACAGACAAGGATTATGTTTGTGCTCAGGCACGAATGTAGCCACGTACCACAGTGCACTCCGCTGGAGTGTATCCCCAAGGCTCGTAATAGCTCGGGAAAACCCCGAGATGCGTGCCTCGCACGAATTCCTCGTAGTCTAGCCCAAGAATAGGGTTCGAGCTGTTGAGGAAATCTGGGTGGAAAACGATTTTCACGCGATCCGACGCAGAGTTGAATAAGCGAACTCGGCGAATCTTAGTAAACATAGTTCAGCCTGCGAGAGGGAAAGAGAGATTGAAGCAGATCTGACTTGATTCAGTATCGGATCGTTGTTGTCGTCTGCCATGTTGTGGGTTGTTACAGGAGGCAGACTGTTGCGCTTGAGGGCAAAGATACGACGTTTAAGCAGTACGAGATCCTCGTCCGACAGAAGAGAGGAGACGTCGGGTAAACCAGCAGATGATTCTCTGCAATGCGTAAGGACAGCACGGGAGGAACACGGATGGGCGTCTCACGATTGGAATCTTGCCGCGGTTTCAAACAGTCTTTCGCCGATGCGGTTCTGAATCTCGGTAACCGCGTCCCGCAGTTGTTTGGTGACAGCTTGCCCCTTCAGCGCCTCAACAGTGTAGCTATGTGTTGCGGCAGGCATGATGATGAAAGCGACCACAGTTGTTTTTGAATTTCTGTGACGTCTGTGAGTCACCTGGAGGTGATAAATAGGAAGTTTCGAACGCTTTCTGAAGGAGATAATTTAGACGAGCCAAGGCCTCAATAAACATGTCGACACCCTTGTTCCGATATTCATAACGGCCTGCAGTAAACATCTGATCTCCGGTAAGTGTCAAAGTAAGAGCAGCTGCGTAGAAACCATACGTAGAGAGTGTGGTCCAAGTCGAAGTTGTAGTGACCGTAAAAGTGACCCCGGACAAATTCATCAATCTTGGCTTTGGAGGTCGCGTGGCGGTTCTGGAATTCGTGCATGGCCTGAAACTTGACGACATTGAGCCCGTTCGGAACGACACCATCGGGTTTCCTCTTGAGAAGATGCTCAGATTCGTAGGCTGTGATATGAGAAACCGTGGTGAAAACGTCAGCGCAATGCGTCGCACTGCGCTCTATGCAGTAGCGGTGATAGATGCCGCGTTTGCCCGCTTCGTGATCAACGTCAAAGTATTGGAGATTGTTGTAAAAGTCGACGCTACCGGCGCAGAGATAGCGACCGAGAAGGGTAGCGTGAGTGGTGAAAACGGTGGTGACGTCGATATGGCGCTTCCGGCACAAAGGAATCGCAACACCAGCTTGCCACTCGTGAAAATGAGCCACGACAGCAGTGGTGAGCTGGGGGAGACATAATCCCCAAGGAACCACGCGACGATGTAGCCAAATACGATGGTCTCGTTCGTCTCTGTGTCATTGGGCGGGGAAGGAATACCAGCGAGGTTCCACAAATCGCCCTTCCACTCGTCAAGACGGTTATACATCGAGCCCGTGTCGAATAGTAGAACGTGAGGCGCGCCTTCGATGAGCCAACGTCCATACAAGCACTTCACGCCCTGCGAGCGATTGAATCCAATGTCGCGGCGAGGTGCGGATCGGTGGGATCCTCGGCCTCTACCTCCATCGGCGCGGACTTATACGAGAGGGGCCAATGAGACAGTATCGGTCGCCGTATTCACTGACTGTGACTGGGACTTTGGTCTTGATGACTGTGTATATGCCGCCGACCTTGTTGGCAACCTCCCAGGCACATTCGAATAGTAGACTTCGCAAAAGTATGAGAAAAAACGCGTTGAAAACGGGGCATAGGACGTACGGGTTGCGAATGTCGCGAGACATGGGTGTAAGAGCAACAAGGAAAGATCGTGACGTAAGATCTTGACCCCACATCTCCTTTCTCCACACCTCCACATACCATCGGTAGCCACCGGTGGGCACGTGGCCCAATTTGTCGCGGTGCACCCCAGGCGAGAACTTGGATTTTCCAGCGTTGACGCGCCTGATGCCGGGACTTATTCTGCGTTCAAAATGTTCTGCGCTCAGCTTGCATTATACACCAGATTCAAAGGTGCAACGCCGAAATGATGGATGTACAGTATCAGCCTCCGTATAATCATCAAGCGATCATAGCAGTCAGTCTACACGATACAAGTTATATCTGCTTTTTCTGCTGCAGGCTCTTAGGGAGTTTCTTCACAAAGGCAAGAATGTCCGTCCCTGCATGTAAGGCTGCAGCACTGGCGGAATTGGAGTCCCTGCGAAGTGATGAGCTCCATGTGGTCGTGAATATCATGGTCCATACCGCATCAGTCTGGTAGTTCTCCACGATACAACACAGAGCCCGTTCTGTTGCACAAAGCGTTCCATTGAGCATATGCACGTAGACCTTACGCGCCTGATCCTTCGTTTTGATCCCAACCTCACTTCGAGCCGCCGGCTCTCTACAACCCTAATCAGTTATGCTCGAATGCCTGTCAGGAAGTGAACACTGACGGTAGTCCGTGCAATTAGAGCAAGAAACCAGCTCCTTGTGCTCTCTCTGGAAAGGGAACCAAGCTTCGAGATCGAACTTTTGGGCAGCAGCAGGAGATTGAGAGCACCCGAAACGATGGCCACAACGCGGTATCTGATCCCAAGACTTTGGTAGAATGCCTCGCTGTTCTCGATCATCGAATCAAATGCCTCCCAGCTCTTGTCGGGTGCGGTCAGAGGAACTGCTCAATCTTCTCGAACTGGTGCACTCGGAAGATTCCCACATATCGCGTCCGGCGCTACCAGCTTCTTTTCTGAAGCATGTTGAGTAGCCAGCATACTGATTGGAAGTTGAGTTTCTGGCGATTCGAACCATTCCTCAGAGTGGAAAGCAGAAATTGGCTGCTCAGAAGTTGCAATCAGATATTCTCCTCGTCGTCCGAGCCAACAACCTGATCTGAAATCAGTCCGATTCAACGTGCAGCTATCGTTGGTCTACTGACTTTATACAGTTCCTCGTCAAATTGATCCAGCTGTGCGGTTTTGGCCATTGTTCTTGTTCATCATGAAGGGCGGATGGATCTTTTTGTATCCCTTCCTCGCAGAAAATCGAGAGCGTAAGCAATGAGAGCTGGTTCAGATCTACGCCGTCGTTTGTGAGGAAGTAGCCTCGGTGTCCTGCAATCTTTGCACCTGCGTACGAATCTGAGCCATCTTCCGTTGAATAGACTCCGCCTTCGTACCACGGTCCAAATCCATAGCGTCGAGTCTGAGGAGAACTTCATGATGAGGCATGATACCGGCTCGTACCGGCGGTTCATCGTTCTCTTGTTCCGGGTGCCAGGTTCGAATGGTGACATTGTCATCCTACTCTATAAGCTAAGCAGTTGGATTGACTTTCCAAATCGAAGGACAAACCTCAGTCAAGCTGACAGGGACGCCTTTGCGACGATGTTGCCACAGTGCTTGCTTTACGACGCATCGTCAGTTCAAATTCCTTCGCCTCTTTCCTGAGAGAATCCACTTTCGTATCCAACTCCTTCTTCTGCGCCACAAGCTCATCTGCAGAGTCTTTGGCCTGAGAGATTTGAGAAGCTCGAAGTCGGTTATCGATCATGCACCACTACTTTTTCTTGGATGCAATTTGTTTCTGCATATCGTTGACCTCTTTCTTGATCTGATTCGCGTCAAAGTCCACTGGGAATCGGAACCCGACGTTAAGCGAGCGGTAACGAGTGGCACAGTGTAGAACGCGCACTTTCACCCAATCTGCATACATCTGGATGATTTCATCGACCAGCTCGACCGATCCGCCCGACTACGCTGGGACTCCCGAATCTCCTGAGAGTTACCCCCTTGTTGTCGATGAACTGCAGGATATCGAGAGTCATCTGGTATGTGGTAGCCGTTGTTATCAAAGCGAACTTGTTTTGTGACTCGCAATCCTTGAGATCATGATCACCATCAGCTTGACGCGTATCACGTAATACAGGTAGGATCACGCGGGGTGATGCCGATATTTGCCTAGCCCAAACACTCATCATGGCCTCCCTCCGTTAGTCGCCTCCGCTGTGCGCCGTGCGCCCGCTGCACTGTCTTGGTAAACGAGGCTATGCTGAAGCGAGTGACAAAATCAAGCTCTCCCTCGCTCTTCCCCATCAGGTTCGTTGGCCTGCCAAGTGCAGCTCACGCAAAATTCATGGCCTCTTTCTAGTCCATCTTCTCCTCCGCCGATGTCGTGCAGGTCAACATCTGTGCTGCCACTGGTGACATGGGAATACTTGCCAACCATGTTCCGTCCGTCGAGCCTGCGTGCTGGAGTTGTTGAAGTCATAGAGTCCAGTGGATCAAGAAGTGGGTTGGTGCGTCGCTTCCGCGCTTGACATTCCTCTATCTTAACTTTGACAGTATCTGGGGGATTCGCTACCGTGCACCCTGGCAACAAGCTCACTGTAAATGTCGTGGAGGCTGCCAACCGCTGGAGGAGTTTTCACCGGAGGTTCGTGTGTGGCTGGCTCACATCACCTCACCTCTCTCATGTTTCGTTCAGGCCATCCGCACTAACCTCCAGGAAGCTCTTCGTGTGGCTGGCGGCAACGGTTCAGAGGAAGACAAACTTGAAGCGCGTATTGAAGCTGATGTTGTACGAGGCACTGCAGCATGCTGTAGCATCGAAGTAATTCCTTCTCGTCCCCTACATGAGCTTAAAATAGAAGATCACAAAGCTCCTTGTTCCGAGCATTCTGCGCTGCTAAATTGCCAACTGAGACCAAATGGTCGAGTCAGGCCGATCGATCGTCCGTGTAACCTTTCGCAATCCCGCTCCTTCCCTGCTCCAGCACACTGGGCGCGTCTTTCCCTAGTCGCATATTCAATCCTTGAAAGCTCCTTCCTGTAAAGCTTGGGCTTGAACGGATACGAATGAGCTTCAATACCTAGCTAGTGCGTAACTCTTACATACCACCAAATTCTCGGCTAGAGCAACTGCGGAATCTGGGTTGCGTATTGCAAAGCATCCAGTGATTCGGACAAGCCACGATTGTTGGTTTTGGTATCGTGTTTGTTCAGGCCAAATTGCTTTACAGTGCGATACTTGCCTGAGACGAGGGAGAATGTAGGTCGCTCGCTGTTGACATCTTCGTTTCAGATTTGTCCTCTTCACTCGGAGAGGTGACATTGGCTTCGGAGAGAAGTGATCCAAAGTCGAGAACATAGCGGCCGCTCCAGCTGTGTTCCGCCTGCAACGCAGTCTCAAGCTCGAATGGTGTCACGACCGGACGCAAAAATTCTGTAATCATAGTTCAGTGAGGAACGGAGAACCAGACTCGCCACACTTTGTTGTCAATGAGGGAGGTTTCGGGACATGCCACAAGCACAAAACATTCGACTTCAATAAAATTGGCGAGTTTGGCCGGATTGAGTTTGCCCACGCGAGGGTGTAGCTTCTTATTCGCGCGCGATATCAATCCCCGGAGATGCTTGATGAGAGGAAGATAAGATGCTTCGGACGAGTCAGACGGAGTGGAGAGATGGGAAAGGGGAAGACTGACCCACACCGAGAGTTCCAACAAGAATGCCGAAAACATCGCAATCGCGCGCTTCTGGACAATTGCGTACCGCCCATGAGAAGGCGGTTGTGTATCGAGGACTCCAGACGTGCTGTATTGTTTATGGATCATACGAGTACACCTGAAATGTTCAATCGTCACGAGGAAAGTTGGCTTCAGCACTCACATTGACGCCGGAATGGTGTTATGAGGATGTTGGCCAAGCGAAGCCCTTCGCCACCGATGTATACGATGCCGGAGTGGTCAGAAGATCGGGGTCCCTTGGTCTCGATTGAGGTAGTTGAACCTGGTTCGAATGAGTGTGTGATCGATTTCATGGCTATTGGAACTTGAAGCTTTGAATGAAGAGCATCGCGGAGACTAGCTATCCCAAACTAAATCAGGGATATCAGAGTAAGGGAAATCAAATCACCCATGCGGTGCGAAGGTAAGCCCCTTCAAACATCAGCTCCACACTGGCGCCGTCGAGCTCCAATACTTTGGACAAGGCGGAGACGCAGTGGTCGATATTGATACCTGCTTGCCAAGACATAGATCACAGGAAGACGGGATGTCCTGAAAACTACTGTGACTGTGATTGAGGATCGGTCAAGAGAGATGTACGGACTTGCTCATGCAGGCGCGACCATAAGTACAACAGCTTCAGCATCGAGACATGTTGCGCTGCCACTTCATCTACGCAGCAGCTAATGGCATCGATTCAGAAAAATACAGGGAACATACACCAGAAATACACCTACCTCCCATACGATGTGTCCGCCAGTACATAGAACTCCCTCCCCATCCCTCCAGGGCACCTTTCAATCTCCGATACACCGGCACCGAATCATGAAGGAGATCATCCGGAAACTGAAGTGCGATTCGCTTGTATTCTGCCGAGATATTTCTCAATCGTGCGTGGAATGTCGTAGTATTCATCCAGTTCAGGAGGTGTGAAGAAGGTCACAGGCGCTCCCGGAGCGAGTGGAAGCGGCCGAGAGATCACATCGGTGTCCGATGAAGAGAATGCAGCCATCTTGGAAATGTTGTGTTCGTAAGACTAGATTTTAGAGCAGCACTCCCCCAATCAGCAATCTTGTGCGAGGAAGATCGTAACGATCAGAGCGACGTCGGCGAACGCCGCAAGGGCAGAATCGCATCATTTCATCACAGCCACTCTACTGCTCTACCACCATACCACCATGCACGCCTCTGTACCCGACGCAACCTTAGCGGCCTTGTGCCTCCCAAAATTGCCACACCTAAGCGGTAGTATGTTTACATGAGTTTTACACCATCACTGGCTCAAGCCACATGTTTGTTTTCAGTCGGGCGACTCCGCCGGTCCCCTTGGTCCG